AGCTGCCTTCCCTCTAGTCTTACACTGCTAAATTAGGGACGGCTAGCGCAGATAGCCCTCGTGTAGCTTTGCGCGAAATTCAAAACAAACAATCGGAAAGAAGAAGGGAATTAAAATAAAAGATGAATTAAGCATTTGTTCTAATGTTCCTTTTATAAATACCCGATAGAACTTGATGTATTTATTTAATTTTTAAACACACACTCTTGCGTATTTTACGTATTTATTAAATATCTGGAATATTCTAGATATATTTGTTAGAAATACCTTTATGATATTTGTTATATACACTGTACCATCTGGTGGCTTAGGCTTCAGCTAAAGCAATACTTTGATGGTGACTTTTTTTTTTCTTTTATATATATTTCTTGTGAGGGAAAATATAAATTTACATCGGGTCATCAAATTTTGACTTAAACATTCAAAACATCAGTTCATTTTAGAAATAACAACAACATTTCGAAATTTGGTTTTTAAACACAGAACTAACTTGGGTACGCTGATTGTGAAACAGTTAAATCAAAGTTAGAATGAATATACCTCCACAAAGCTGAATAAAAGAAGTTTACTTGTGATTAAGTTTGATTGTTTGCACATAGTTGATCTGTTAGTAAACCATAACTCTTGGCAAGCAGTCAAAACGAAATAGATTCTTTTAAGAACCAAAAAAATATTTCATCATGACTTTAGTAAAAATGTATTAGCGTATAGTATGATTTCAACTAGCTCAATAAGAAAATATTCTAGCCGAAATACTTTTTCATGGCAAATTTCTGCCTAAAGAAGGACACAGCATTCAAGTGATGTACAACTACGGCAGAAAAATGTTCTATTCTACTGTGTTTAAACGTAGTTTTCTGAAAAATAATTTATTATTATTATTTGTATTTGAACTTATCAGCGACGTTATATTTTTTCTTCATAAATAAAAACAAACTGTGCCAGATACGACAGATAAGGAAATTGCTTCTCGAATGATGTCTGTGTCAGTTTTGCAATAAATGTGTAACACAGTGTCTTCAATCAACATCATAAGCTCAAGAATTAGCATGTAGAATGATCTGAATTTTTAAAATATGATGTTAGGATATTATTAAAAATTAACATAAGATTAGACTTAAAAATTCACAAAAATGCTCAAATTTGCATAAATGATCTATCGTTTTATTTGTAGTTTTTATTTCCAAGAACGCTTTTCTTATTTTCATCATCACAAGCATCGTAGGGTATTACAGTTATTTTTTTTCTTTCTAGAGTACCAAGGTACATTGTAATGACATCCGTGAGATATTTCTATCATTTGAGATTTAAGAAAGTGGTATTTTTATTTCTTAAAACTTTCACAGATAAGTGCATTAATTCAAAATGTAGTGTTAGCATGTGAAAGTCGGGGTTATCTCACGCATCTTATATTCGATTTTCATTAATATGGAATTTGCGTCTCGTGTAAACCTTTTAAAGTATTTTAAAAAAGCGTTTAAGTTTCTTCGAATATTTAGTTCTGATGTATACTGCAAAATAAACGGTAAGTAAACTACATTATTCATATGCATAGCATAAAATGTGGGTATTTCCGTAGTGTACTCCAAAGATGCCTCTCAAGTTATATAATTACTAACTTACGAAACAGAATTGTGCATATATAATTTATTTTTTTTTGTTTTTGTTTTTTGCCACTTTTTGACGCATAAGATTCTTTCAATTTTATTGGCATCTCCACTATTCGCCAGGCCCTTCAGAAAGGTTTTTGTTTCTTGGAATAGGAAATGCTTACCAGTTTGAGCGGAAATTTAACGTGATTCATTAACGAGCAGTGACGAGGAAACACATAAAGATTTAAGTAAATCTGTACGAAATGTACAATGTGCTAGACCATGCTGAATGTGTGTAAAGTGTACAGTATACTGAGTTCAGCTTAACATGTATAAAGCTTTCACCATTGACCTCATTGATTAAAGTTTTTCATTCTTTACAGCCTCTTATATTGGAATTGTATTTAAGAGACCTGATTTTTTATAGTATTTAAGTACTTCAGAATGGCTTGTTTCTGAAATTTCGCGCAGAGCTATATAAAAGGATAATTGTGCATACTTGTCCCTAATTTTTCACTGAAAGACTAGAAGAAAAATAGCTATTTTAATAGCACCACTGAGTTACTTAATACGGAGATTTAACTGTTGCTCTTATAACGCACCAACACTCCACATCGTGAACCCTAGGATTCACACACCTAGTACGGTAATCCATAGGTCACGTCCGACTCGGTTTTAGAATTGACAACAGGTATAAGTCAATTATTTTAAATAAGCGGACCCCCCCCTCCCCCCCAGCTACTCACATCACTGTAAAACTCCCGAGTAATAACTAAATATCGTGGTATCCAAGCGAATTTATTTGGCACGAAATGGAGCATTATTACAATAAACGGCAAAATCCAGGCTTAAGATAAAATCCCCCGCAGTAAAATACTAAAATGAGTAAATCGATGATCACATTATTAAAAACGTTGTTTGACACTATTTTTTTTTTTAGATACAAAAGTAATCATTAATTTAAAAAATCTTTTTTAGCGTAGCAACATACTTGAAAGTTCGTATTTAGTGATTGTGCCTTTAAATGAATACAGAGTTTTATATAGTTCATAAAATGCGGGTAAATTCTTTAGAAATCACATACTTATATATCTGGTGGTCCTTGTTTATAGCTGTTTAGATTATTCGAGTTTGTACAAAAAAAAATGTAAATTTGCCACTGCAGATTTGTTTAATTAACTTTTACATATATCATGCTGTTAGCCTATGCTTATAATATGTTCATGAATTACCAGAAGTGATAACGAATGGAGCCCAGATCAGGATGAGATTTATGTAAATTCAATATGCTTATTTATTTCATGTTTCTCTATAACATAGCAGTATGAATTATCTGTACATATACTGGATAATTATAAAATAATGTGGCCGGACGTAGCCTATAGTGGTTAACTAGCCCAAACTTTGCCTCGAACGATTTATAGTTCATGACTCATTGCCTCAAAAACGCCATCCGCACCTTTGGGCTGTGAGCGCATAATAGAAGGGACTGTCAAATCTCACTGTCGAATCACATAAGAGTAACTTAAGAGTCGGCGGCGGTAGCTATTGACTAGCTGCCTTCACTGTAGTATATCAACTCAAAAGTACGTAGATAGCCAGCCCTCATAAGGCTTTGCGCGAAATTCTGAAACAAACAAACGAAACAAAATAACGCATTTCGTTGAATATATTATTAGTTATATTCATTGACTTACTTCCACTTCTAATATTTCGTTATGCTATTCATTCAGATACAACCGAAAATATCGTTAATAATGATGGTACTAAAATGCAGATTCAGTGCTTTCTATTCATTATAGGCTTAACTTTCTTGTGGATCGTTTAAGACAATATCTATTTGGACACGAGCTGGCACTGTGGTAGAGTTCTGGATTTTGGAGCCGAGTTCGAATCCGTACGATGTCACAAAATATTCCACGCATTTTAAGTGGTGCGTTAACTATAAGAGTGACAGTCAATCCCTTAACTTGGATTGTGTATGATAAAGGCGCTACTGACTACCTACCTTCAGATAACTTTAGTAGCTGTACCATAAATACCTATTTATTCTCAGTTTTCTTTTTTTTTTCGTTTGTTCGATTGATTATTATATTAGTTGCTGTTAAGTTTGATCTATACAGTTATGTTTAATTTTGATCAACGTTGTTTATAATTATGGGACCTGGAATGCAAACTTTGGGAGATACGTTTTACTTACTACTACCATTGTTCCGTTTCTAGTAACGTGTTTTTATTCTCCTTTTTTCTTTAACTCTGAATACAAGCTTCCTCGGGATTCTTCTGAGGTTCCTTCGCTTTTCCAATGTTGAACATTATAAAAGTATTCCTTATCTACAACTGTTGTTTTCCTCAGTTCCCAAAAGCACAAACATGAAAAATTCGGTCTCTTTCTGTTTATTCAGATACCGTTTGAAGATCTTCGTCTATAACAATTGCAAATACTCGAGTTTCATTTTATGTAGTTTCAAAAACATTTCACCGGTTTTTAGTATTGATAGTTTCGCTTTTAGCTCTTGTTTTATAATTCTTATTAACAGTAAGAACATTATACCTGTTCCTTCGACTCCAGATAGATTGAGTTTGTGACGATAGTTAATATCATATCAAGAAAGCTAATAAAAATTTGAAGTATAAGTAAACACCATTCTCACATGATTGACTTATACTGCCTCGTGATGTGCAGGATATATTCCAATCCCATAATAACACTTTAGTTCAAAGAGAGTTTTCAAATAATAATGAATCAAATAAAAACAAAACGTAAAGAGCAGTGATATCCTACTACGCGGAAACTACAATGTGTAAAAATTCTTGTTGTAGTTAAATATGTATAGGAAAATGCATACAGAATATAAGTATTTGAACAAGTTGAGCAGAAGTATTTGGACGTAATAAGTGTTAGTGTGCACGTTTGACTCAATTAAACGGAATGAATAAAAGTCAATTAAAAGCTCTTTTAGATTCTGACCTAACTTTTGAATTTTTGTATTATTCTATTTTATTTATTTATTTATTTTACAGAGATCCGTGGAAATCACAGTATTACCGGCAGTCCGAAGATCCATTGGTGTCTATCAAACCGCTAAGTTTTTCGATCACATCTCCTCAAAAACTACGACATCACCATTCCAGTTCCGAATCCTTAAGTAGCCTGCGTTCTGCTCCAGGAGGGCAACTGTCAACGATCAGCCAAACTACTATCAACTTTCTTCTTGATCTAGGGAAGTCTGAAACTTCCAGTGTGTCGCAACCGGAAAGTCACTTCTGTCCTACTTTAGCTCACAGCACGGAAGATAATACAATGGTCACACGCAGATTCAAGAAATCTGTTTACAAAGAACTGGCATCAAAAAGTGGTTTTGATTTTACACCTGTCGTTCAGGGGAGAACTGAATCTGAAAAACAGGGGAATACAAATAAACCTACAGATGTTTCTAGTGTGCCACAAAGTTATCAAAATTCTCTAGATGGTAAGAATAATATGGATTTTTGTAAACAGACGACCATATATTCTAATAAAACACAAGATGTTTCGCAGAACGTATCCAACGTTTTTCAAAATCGACAAGTAGGTAATGGAGGTGAATCGCAAAGTGTAGAAAACATTACTAGGAAGGTGAGCGATCTTCCGGAACGCTTTTATTGTAATACATTAGCAGGAAAGGAAAACCCGGCATATTGTCAAAAAGAACAGCCGAAATTTGTTGTCACTGATGTTTTGCATGAAAAATGTCCATCTTGGCCAGCAACAGCAGTAAATTCAGAAGGTACTTCACCAATCTCAGCGGTTAACTACAGATCTCACTCTTGGTCTAACCAAACAGATTACCCAAAACTTCGCGTTGTGTATTCCCGTCCAAAAAAATCTTACAAAATGTGCACTAGCCAACTTCCACCGGTCTTAGAAAAAGGTACTGAAAGCTCAAAAAGAAAAAATATAGCAGACGTGGAAAACCAACCCACTGCACTCCTTTTATCCTCGAGTGCTAACCACGAAGTTGGGTATAAGCAAGTAATGAATCGACGTTGTTCTGAGGGACTACAAGTTCCTCAAGGTGACATTCGTTCTGCTAATGTTTCAGAAGTACATGGAAGAAACATCATCCAAACACCTGCTGAACGTGATGTTTCTTACCAAACCCAAGAACCCAAGATGGAACCGTACTGGGGGAAGTACCATGATTTTTTGAAGCACTATAGTGAATACGCACCATCACAGTCTTCAGCTTACGGAAGTCTTTCATCGTGGGACGGGTCAGCTTCAGAATATGGGACAAACTTATTGAAACAGGATTATGTTGAAAACCGAAATCCATTAAGTCTTGAATGTCGCGGATCTTTCAGGATTGCACAAAGCGCCATTGAAATGCCAAGTAAAATCGAAGAGATTAGAAATGCAAATAATCAAGAGACTTTACCTTGGCATGGTTCTTATAGTGATCTAAGTTCGCTGAGCATGCAGCTTTCCAATCGGTCTTCTCTGCTTGATAGTGGATTATCGACATTACCGGATAGTGGTCGCTTGTCTCCACAATCTTCTTGTGGAAGCCGTTTCACAACTACGTCACTCGAATGTGGATTAAGAGCTCATTTAGTGGCAAAAAATGGGATTAATCAAGAAAATGTGGTCCACAGTTCCAGAGTTCAACAACCAGTTCGCCACGACTCTCAAAGTGTTGTATATTATACGCCAGATGCAAAGCAAATTTACAACAGAATTTCCAAAAATGTACACATTTCTCGCAAGGCAAATACTAATGATAGAAAAGCTGATTACGTTGACAAACAACAATCTTCGGAGAAAGTCTCGGACAACCTTAGAAAATGCGAAACAGAAGAAGAGATAAAAAACGAAAATCCACTTTTTGAAGACATTACAACACACGACCAGTTTTATGGTTTCTGCAAACGACTTGAAGTTCCAAAAGAACAAATGAAAGCTTGTACCAATAACGAAAATAAAATATTAAAAAATGGTGTTAAAACTTCTACTTCGCCTCAGTTTGAACATGAAAAAGTAGCTCCAGAGAAAGAAATTTATCCAAAATATAACCCTCCACAAAAGGTTATTCTAAAACCACACAATGAATATGATTTGGCAAGAAAGAATCAAACATCGACTTCAAATAATCTTGATAACCACATCATGTATTTAAGTTCTGACAAAAAGCCTCAGATAACAGATACCGAGCTTAAAGCAATCCAAAGACAAGCCGTTCTGTCTTTTTATCAACGACAAAAAGCCTTATATTCAACAAGCGCGAGAGTCGCGGAACAAGATTTACCGATTTCTAGTTTTCACAGTGAACATTTGCGTGGTGCTAGTGATACGCTAAGTCAGGAGAAGCAACTGATCAATGCCAGTGTTTCTCAAAACCCATTACACGCTTCTCATAAACTGGTGACCGGCACACTGGATCCACGTAATAATGTTTTTCGAAATGGAACCTCAGAATTTATCCAGAGTCATATTATACCAAATGAAAACAGCTGTTCTTCTTCTAAAAAAGAGGTCTCTGAAGAACATAAACACAACCAAGAAAGAGCTTTGAACCATAAAAGCAGCCTTTCTGTGACAAAGTCACAAAGACTTTCCTCCGAAACATTTCTACAGAACTCCAATTTACGACCTCGAAAAAACATTAGTTCAGACCACTATATGAAAACAAAGGGTGAGCCATCCGCTACCGAACCAATAGCTTCATCTGCCTTAGAAGAAGAGACAATCATAACTAAAATGCTAGAAGATAAAGAGAAAATTAAAAGAATGGGTGAACTTTCTGGGAGCGGCATCAGATCAGTCCTTCCGCTGGTAAGTTTCAAACTTTCTAGCTATGGAGTCAAGCACGTGACATTAGACCAATTTTGAGATTTAAATAATAATTTAATACTCCAGCCAAGATAGATGTAAGTTTATATATTTCATTAATTCGTAAAAATAATATTAATATGAGCAACGTGCCATATATTTTAACAACCTCGTCTCGAGCAATTAGTATTTTCGTAATTCCTTAATGGTTAGAAAATAGTGTTATAAACTTGGATATATTCTTTTTAAACGTAAGAAAGTTGCACGAGTACTGATACAGACACTATTTTTTAAAATCATTTGTGGTATCACATCAGTTTTTATGACAAATGATGTTCAAGTTTGTTTTGAATACTTTTATTTTGTAGAATTGATATTAAAAGCTCTTATGTTCAATGCTTGTAGCTGTAATCACATTAATTTCGACAAGGTTAGCTGTTGGCAATAATAATTAACTTGAATCGTCTTCTCGTTATCTTTTATACCATCTATTCATTGAATGCCAAGACAACATGAGCAATAATGTAGATTATCTTATACAGCTGATAAAGAAAAGTTTACTAACCACGTAGAAAAGCAGGATCTGAGAAGTCAAGATTGTTTAATTACGTTACTTAAATCCACGAAGGTCTTCGAGTCAATAAATGTGGCATAATTATAAGATCTTCTAAGAAAAGTTTATTATTTTTAATGAGTCTCTAACATACATTAAACTATTAAAGGATATTGCATCTAAATCATTAGTTTATTGTTTAGATTACTGAGGTACTAAGACGCTTGTATTCTTCACACGTGAAAATTCTTATTGATATTCAGTAAATGCTACTGACATAACTTGTTCTTGTAATGATCTAAATCTTACATTGTTATTTAAGCCCTTGTGATAGTCTAAACTTGACATTGTTATTGAAGTCCTCGTGATAATCTAAACCTGACACTGTTATTTAAGCCCTTATGATAATCTAAATTTGGCATTGTTATTTAAATTCTTGTGGTAATCTACACCTGATATTGTTATTTAAGTCCTTGTGATAATTTAAACCTGACACTGTTATTTAAGCCCTTGTGATAATCTAAGCCTGACATTGTTATTCAGGTCCGTGTGATAATCTAAACCTTACACCGTTATTGAAGTCCTTGTGATGATCTAAACCTTACACCGTTATTGAAGTCCTTGTGATGATCTAAACCTTACACCGTTATTGAAGTCCTTGTGATGATCTAAACCTTCGTTATTGAAGTCCTTGAGATGATCTAAACCTGACATTTTTATTTTGTAACTTTAACCTCGAATGTTTCTTTAGAAATAATAAAAGACCTTTATAGCAAAAGAAGGGGCATCGATGTATTTCTCCTGATAGGAGGCTAATGTACTTTTGTTCACGAATTTTAGTATTTTTTTTCTAACATTCACTAGTTTGTTTCGTGTATTGGCAATTATTGTAGATCCAAATACTATTAATTTTATGTACAATGTAAGTAATAACCTCTACCAATTACTTTACAGTTAGTTTCTTTCAGTCAATGTAATTACAATATTTACAGTAATAGTTGAGCAGTATTTTTAGTTACATATATGAAAATTATATTCCAATGTGGGAATTGAGGATTAACCTAAGTCTTATAAGCTAACCTTTGATATGTTAATAGGATTACGCCTGAAAATATTGTTACGAGCGAGGGTGCTCTGTTGATGCAATATAATCATTATCGGATTTATTTTCTCATGCATTGATTTATAATATAGTGTGTCTAGCCAGTTTGTTATATCAGTATATCTTCACTGGTGTACATAGGTTTCGGAATACCACATATGGTGAAATTTAGTTAACCTAGGATAAGTAGTTGAGGATATAATTACAAGGGCCTTCGAATTTAAACTTCATAAAAGTTGTTTTGGTTTTAATAACGGATTTTATATAACTCAGCCATGCAGATTTCGAAAATAATATTCATTTTTTTTCTATCACTTAAGGATTTTTTTTATAAATCGGGAAGAAAAAAAACTTACTTAGATTAAATTATTATTTTGTTTACCACAATGAAAAATTGTTAATATTATGTTTGGGTTCGTTTATTTGTTTGAAGTAAAGCACAAAACTAAACAATGGGCTATTTGTGCTCTGCCCACCACGGGTATCGAAAACCGGTTTCTAGCGTTGTAAGTCCGCAGACATACCGCTGTGCCACTGGGGGGGCGTTTTGTGTGGGTTCTTGAACAACCAATAAGACTCACGTCGCGATTGGTCTAGAGAAATTTATAGCCAGTGGTTGTCAACATTTTAAGCATAACAAAATGTGACCCGATTTCAATGAAAATTATTCACATATATAAAAGTACATATGACGTTTTATGAAAAATCTGTACGTGATGGAGAAAAATGGATATCATTTTCGGATTCAGCGTACAGGAATTACTGTAGAACATGCAAAAATTTCAATACAATAAAAATCATCGTGTTATTTTCAGTATTGAGGTTTCTTTATAATCACAATACATATTAAATAATTTTTAGTTCAGCTTTATATATGTTTTCTTTTTTTTTATATCGGGACCTCTTAATAATCTCTATGTGTTAAAAGAAGGATAAGAAGACTAGTCTGTGTGCTTTACAAGGTGCTTTAGCGAGAATCTTTAGAATCACCTTGTTGTGTTAGTGGTAATTTCTGCCAATATCGACTGTAAATTCGTCTACATTGAATCAAAGCCTTACTTTGACATCCCAGCAATTGTATACTTATTGAAAATTAATGTAAAAAAATGGGTATAAAAACTAGTCATGAGACAATATTTCGTAGCACGTGCGATAAATTGTAATTGAACAACCAATATGTTTTCGTTGTTGAGTAGCAATGTTGTGTGAATGATTTTGAGTTTTTATAACAAACTCATTAGTCATCATTGAGAAATGTGACTGTTTAGCAACTTCTAGGTAAAATAATTAGCCTGTGTTAAGTTGAGTATGTGTAAGCTTATATAGATATTATTGTAGCTTTCGTGGAAGTGTTTAGATAAATAAAGTTATTAAAATTATTTTTATTGAGGTTATTGCATAACCTGCTTTTAAAACATCTTAATTGACAAAATTAGCTCTAAAATGTACGAAAGTAATTAATAAATTGATACCTGCTGTTTAGCTTATTTTCATACATTGTTTTTGTAGTACTGTTAAATAAATAATTAATGATATTTTTCGTGTACAAATACATCATTATTTACATTTTCCTGCGGAAATGTGAATGATAATGAAAATCACGATTGCTAGGCTACATTATTATACTTAATATTTACCTGTGACACCACAACGTTTCAGATTTAAATTTGTCGTTTGCAATCTGGTCTTTTATAGTGTGTTTCACATAATAGAGAAATCAGACTCTTAATTACGAAGTAAATGGGGCTTTCTATCCTGCCAACTGTCACTTTCCGTGCTACGGTCATTAGCCATGATTCAACGAAAGTAATTAAGACTTGTAATTAAATAAAGACAGTAAAAACAAGCAGTTAGGTCGGGCGCATACCAAGCTTACACTAATGATCTACCACAGACATAACCGTTGTACACGAACTGTTAGAGATAAAGGAACGAATGTTCAGGAAATGAGAGAATTTTAGTCTACCATCAGGGGGCACTCAACCGGAACAAGAATTACTTCAAACATTTTATAAAAAAAAGAGAGCTATGCTCATCTCGTTTATATGATGCGAATGTTTATAATCTGACGGTAGCTGATTATTGATTTTTACAAAAATTTTCCACTTTGTGTTTTCATGTTTTTCGTCTATTCACATATCAGTCGTAATGACAAAACTATAGTGTACATTTGATGACTCATCGATTGCCTTGGGACACCAAGTGAACATTTATCACAAGAATCAACATTAACTTGTATTTGTAAGGATATTTCTAGAATAATTTCCTGCGTTTATTGTTCATTACAATCTATATTAGTTGAAGAGCAGTTGTGTGTTTAGATAAGAAAAACGCTTCATAGCAATTATTAGCCATTGCACTGATTGGAAAGTGAATTTTCTCCATGCTTCAATACACCGAAAAATTAAAGGCTTTCAAAGTGTAACCTTTGTACTTTTTTGCAGGAAAACTAATGTCCAAATCTCAGTAACTAGGTTGGTAATCTTACGTCGTCTATCTCTAAGCTACTTTTACAAAAGAGTATTTGATTAATATATATATTTTTTGTAATGCTTTATTACAGAAGATGAAATGACTTCCAATCAGTTTTCTTCTTTATGAATTCCTAAAGCTGACATAAAAAAAAAGACAAAGCTGAAGTAATTACTTGCAATGACGTTAACTACTTTATCAAATGTTTGAGGTAATTTAAGGCATTTCAATACAGATAAGAGGCTAAATAAATATATATATATATATTGTGCATTTGCTTTATTATCTTTCTAATTTTTTAAATTTCCTAAAATTTGTAATTTAGCGCAATGAGTATACATTTTATATTCGAATTTCTTCGTGCTACTTAGTATCATTTAAATCTGGCTGACTGTGGCCCGGTATTAGCAGGTCAGTCGGTGGATCAAACTTAACGGTATTGAAGATGATATGCCACCGACCAAGCTTTTTCAGATGTGGGCACTTTATGAAAGTGACAGCTAATCTTGTTATTCTTTTAAATTTGTTTGTTTGTAATTAAGCACAAAGCTACACAATGGGCAACCTGTATCGAAACCCGGTGGTGGCTGGCTGTTTTTTTCTGTGGTCAGTAGTTCAAAATTAAGCAGAGCTATATCTGATTCCTTAGATCTTTCCAATACGTTGAGCTCACGTGCAAATAAGGTGACTTTGAGGTTGAAAATTCCAATCCATCGAAGACTGCTTACTTGAAATATTAAATTTAGACCTACAGATGAAAAATATACGTATATTTCTCATACGAAAATTGCGAAATGTTTTCTTATGAATACGATCTTGTTAAATAAAGGTCACATGAATACTGCCAGATTAAATAAAATTATTTTTAAATTTAGC